CTACGCTGGCCTCAAATGGGGGGAAGGCCTGAGCGCCATCAACCATCAGATATGGGAACTTATCGCAGGTTGCAGAACCGTGAGACTCTCCCCATTTTGGCTGTGGCAGGCTGGGCCGGAAACGACGTGCATGGGGATTTTGGCTACCAAGGTTGCACGTGGATTCATCAGACCAATTTGACCAGATCCGAAGCCGACCGGAAGGTCGCTGCCGACTACGTGGACAAGCAGTACAAGAAAGTTCAACGGTCGCTTGAAGGACTGGTCGAAATCCACAATGACCCACGTGTCTTGTCGGTGCAAGTCATCGGGAACGGTGACCATACGAACTTTTCTTTGCCGCCATCTTACAATCGTGAGATGGGCAAACACATGAACTGGCTGGCAGAGCGGGGCGTGCAATGCATTAGCTCAACAATGCTCGGGCAAGGTGGAAGTATGACAACTACCACCTCCACGATCACCAGTTCAATCGAAAGCTCATTTACCGTTTCCTGAGAGGAGCCATCACATTCCACCTGAAGTACGTTGAAGTCATGTCCAAGAAGGAGGACCTCAAGTACTACGTCAAGGAGTTCATCAGCAACGAGCAAGATCGTGTGGCCGCGGTCCATTTGTTTCCAACAATGGTTCAATTCCGATTGGCTTTGCTCGGCACTCAAGAGGTGATGCAAGCACTCAGTCCTGAGAAGAAGACGGCTACTCCAGCACAGGTCTTCGATGAGGCAGATGAGGAGATTCTCATGTGGGTGCATGCAGGAATTCTTGAGGCGAACGAGGAAGCCACCCGGGAGGATCGGCCACTACCAACGGTTTTCACTGACGAAGAGATGAGCTCCATCGTTCCTGTGGATCCAGCCATGGAGGATGCCGACACTGAAGAACAACGTGCCAGAATCCATCTCCAAGCTGACCTGGATGAGGCAATTGCTGACGGCTTCTCTGCTACCACGGAACGACCTGATGACAAAGATCCCGAAAGCACTGGCTTTGAGGAAGACGTGGAGATCGTGCCTGAGGCCGATGATTGGGACCTTGTGGCCGACGACAAGATCATTGTCAACCCCTATGACGAGAAGGTCAAGGAAGATGCTATCTCCGAGGAAAGGGCAAAGGAAGTGGACGACATCAACAAGATCTTGGAGATCACATCATCCACTACCATGCCATCGGGAACGACGGCCGCTGAAGCTGTCAAAGATGCATCTGCCTCAGCTGTTGAAGGGGAAGACAAAATGAAGTCGTCTGGTGTTTCCACATGGAGTGTGATTGGCGACGATCCCGACAAAGCTGCCGACATGTCATCATCAAGGATCTCATCATGGTCTGAAGTTGGTGGTGACAAGCCTACGCCCATGGATGTCAATGCTGGCAAGACTGATGATAATGCTGGCAAGAAGGACGATGATGCCACTCGGAAGGGTGAGCCGGATGTTCCAACTGCTTCAGGTACTGCTTCCTCATCGGGCACGGCGACCGAAGACAAGGCAAAGATTGTCGACTTGACCCAGGAGTCCAAGAAGGTTGAAGTTGACAAGCCTGTCGGAAGGCCGGCCGAAAAGAAAATGCCCAAGCCTGAAAAGCAGAAGGCCCCAGAGTTAAAGGCTATGCCGAGGACAAAGGCTCCGAGATTGAGCGCTGAGGCCGATGCTGCACTCAAGAAGTTGGAGGAGGCAACCGAGAAACAGGAGGGGGCAGTGTGGCTCGACCCAAATGATATGGCATCTCGCATCCCTAAAGAGTATTGCGGCCAAGGACGAATGCGATTCATCTCAACCAAAATGTCCTATGTGCTGCGAGGTCACGCCCTCAGCTACGGGGCCAGAAGTCCGGACATTGATCCGATGGATATGTCCATGGATTTCGACGCAGTCATGAGGACGCTTGGCTACTACGTCTCCTACCCCAAGATTCGTGAAGTGCTGTCCATTGTCAGGAACAGCGACACCAGGCGCTTCCAGGTGAAGGTCACTCAGCCTGACTTGCCTGAAGCAACCTGGAAGGGTTTGCCGTGGAAGGTTGTTGCAATTCGTGCAGTCCAGGGCCACAACCGAGCCGTTGTTGAGAATGCGAAGATCTCATCATTGGTGAAGCAGGTTTTTACCCTGGATCCCTTGTTCACCAAGGAAGACCTTGACACGGTGAAGCTCCCGAGGACGAACTTGAGGCCAGACTTGGTGCCGGAGCTGATGGCGAACCTCCCCCGGGTGATCTATCACAGTTGTGACCGCCTGGCAATGGAGAAGATTGTCGAACATGGTTTGATCCCCGGTGGGTGGCCTCAGAGGACTGGAAGAGCACACAATTTCTTTATCGCGTCCCACCCCTGGGATGAGTCAGTTGGAGGCAAAAAGCTTGCGGGAACGCGAGCCGGAAAGCAATATTACATTGCATTTGACACCGAGCTTGTGGTTCAAAGCGGCTGTCGCCTGTTCAGGACGGATGAGGCCATCATTAGTCCTGATTGGATCTCCAACGAGAACATCATTTGCTCGTATGACTCGGTGAACCGAGAGTTTGCATGGGTCAACAGACCATACGAGCTGACCAGAGTGGGGTACAACGCGAGGATGAAAGAGAACAAGGACAAGAACACCCCGAAGTCCGATGCTCTGGCCACCAGCCCCTATGCCAATCTCAAAGAGTACCTCCAGAAGGGCAACAGTGTTCGTCCGGGCGATATGCAAAGGACGACTGCACCTGAAGAACTGCCGCCATTGCTTCGTCGACGAGAAGGTACGTCGGGCCCCTTCGAAGATAAGGTGATTCTGAGAATGGCTCCCTTCGGTGCCCTTTCCAATGCGGAAACAATTCGAAAAGGCCGAGGCCGAGGAAAAGGAAAGGGAAAAGGAAGCCGCCCGGGAGGGCTGGCCCAGCAGATCAGGTGCCACTTCTGCGGCGAGACCAACATCGAAGGCACGCACAAGTGCCAGTCATGCTTCAAATGGTTGATTGCATGGTCAGATGGAAGGATCGCAACAGAGGTATGCCGGATGGAAATCACGGCCAAGAAGACCAACAAGGTGTTCTCTTTGGATAAGATTGACTTCGAGAAGCAGCCAAGGGCCCAGAGAGTCTCAGACCGCACAAGAGCTGACCAGCGACGTGCCGGTAGGAGCAATTTCGGGAACTTGAAGGATGCGGCACAGACTCACGCTGGCCGCTATGCCAAGCTCGGATACAAATCTATCCAAGACCGTATGGAAAGAGATCCTTTCTATCTCTTTAACAGCGCGGTCGGCCAGATCACCCCGGACTGTTGCCAGTTTCTGGAGGACCTCGCCAAGTGTATTGCCCCAGATGTTGGGCGTACCAGGGAAAAGCAGGAGAAGCAGCTGGGAACAGGTGTCAGTACTCGTTTGATTTTCATGCCCGACTTCAATCGCGACATCCGCTTGGCCTTGGATGTGACGAAAGAAGCGATGGTGGCACATCATGCTCGAGTATTCACACTACCTCACTTTGCTGTTCTTGCTGCGGATCTGCTCAAAGCGAGGGGGGAACCCACGCCGATGTTGTATGGTTGGTCAGGATCAGTTATGCCTGTGGATCAACAATCTGCTCAGGACTGCTTTTTCGACTTAGTCGATTTTGCAAAGAGGCAATGGGTCGAGCAGTACAACAACATCAAAGGCGAGGAGCACTCCTTCTTGGAAGAAGCCACTGCATCAGACGTGGCTGAATTTCCCTTGGCGAGAACCACAAAGACTGGGACTGGAGAAGGACGAGAGGGCTACCGACGCACCTTTGATCCAATTCAGAGGCAGGGCAAGGGAAAAGGGTATGGCCAACAAAGACCAATTTTTCAACAGGCTGTTGAATGCTGGAAATGCGGTCAGTATGGCCACAAATCTTTTGAGTGCCGCAGTGGATGGAACCGGAGGCAAGGATGGGATTCTTACGGGTCTTATTCAAGCCGTCCGGGAGGGCAGGCCCAATGGCAAAGCTGGAATTGGAGGCAAGGATACTCTGGCAAAGGTTGGGGCGCTGATGACTGGGGAAGGTCGACTGGATCGAGTTCCTCTGCAGCACCTCCATAGCCAGTGCGCCCTCCATCAACAGCAGCGCCCATGCCCGATCCTGCGCCTGCTGCGGACGCCCCTGCCCAAGAAGCCAGTGGATCAACGGGGAGCACTCAGCAGACTCCAATGAGATCTCCGATCATCTCCGAGGAGTACTGCGAGATCAACGGCCAGCCGCACTACAAGCGTTTGCTTGCTGACGGGACGATTGAGTATGAGTCTTGGTAGGTGTTTCACTTTGCAGTGGCAAGATTTTACGCCTGCCGGAAGGTTTGGCCGATTGGATGAAATCGACCCATGGTCACTCAGTTCAATCGATGTCCATTCAATTCAAAGATGAAATTCCAAATTGTTTTTTTTAACCCAATTGCTTCAAAGAGAGTTTGACACCAACATCCGATCCGTAGTGCTCGCGTGTATATTAGCCGTGTACATTAGCCTGTTACAGTAGCTTCCAAGTTTTCAGGGCAATCAAAGGAGTGGTAATGCCCCTATGCCTTGGCGGAAGCCAGGCCGATGTCACTTTTGCTTTTGCCAAACACGTGCGATGCCTGGATCCCAAAATAAATGCACCCGGATATTTATTGCCTCATGCATTCGATGAGCTGAGACTACATTGCATCCGATAGGGTTGATTACAGTGATGTTTAGTTTTTGAAGCCGACTGCTCTCAGGTCACTTCTGGCGGTCGTGCTTCACCTGGCCTCTCCGTCCTCCGTTAATACTACGGGGCGGCGGGGGGTATTTTTAATAGGTCTCACTGTATATACATAACTTTTCACCCTTACTATCGGTTGCTTATGGCTCAAGAAAACAGTGTGTGGTAGCTGGTAGTTTGTGGCTAGTTAACCTGTCAAACAGAAACCAAAATCACTTGTGGTTTGCGATTCAATTCGCTTAATGGCCATTGTTGATTTCCATTTGCGCCTTTTGTGCGCAGATGCAATCTGTGCAATCCGCCCGTGTTGCCGTGCCGAGGTAAGGCCAAGCTAGGCGAAGACCACCCAGATACTTTGAACAGCATCAACAATTTGGCGGCGGTCCTCGATGACCAGGGGCATTTGGCGGAGGCCGAGCCTCTTTACCGCGAGGCTCTAGAGAAGAGCCCGGGAGCTCAGCTTCAAAGATTTCAAAGGGACTTTTGGCAGTGGATCTGGAGTCACACCTTATTGGACTTTCGTTGGCTAATTAGGTTCCTCATGACAGGCGCAGCAATATTTGCAGCAATACTCTTAGGATGTTTTTAGATGCCCCATCCCGTAAGAAATTATGTCAGGGGATGCGGTGAGTTGAAGGAATCATATTTTTTGGAAGACTTGGAATAAAATGCTTTGGGTCTGGGACCCACCTGTGGCACATGTTTCCATGTTTTGTGTCCGCTGCTTGCGACATATTTTGCCACTCCTGAGATGTCAGAGACCCTCGGAATTTCAGAGTTGCCAGCGCTGAGCAGATATGTTTTTGGCCAAAAGTTTCCAAAGTCGCGTTCATTTGGCTTCCAAAGCAAGTCATGGCAAATGCTTTGAAAACTCCAAAGTGCATTGATTTCTGTTTGATGATGTTGGAAGCAGAGGGCTTTGATGGCGAAAGAGTCGGCAATGGTTCAGATAGAAACCAAAATCACTTGTGGTTTGCGATTCAATTCGCTTAATGGCCATTGTTGATTTCCAGTTACGCCTTTTGTGCAGAGATGCAATCTGTGCAATCCGCCTGTGTTGCCGTGCCCAGGGAAGGCCCAACTGGGCGAGGACCACCCAGATACTTTGAACAGCATCAACAATTTGGCGGCGGTCCTCGATGCCCAGGGGCATTTGGCGGAGGCCGAGCCTCTTTACCGCGAGGCTCTAGAGAAGAGCCCGGGAGCTCAGCTTCAAAGATTTCAAAGGGGCTTTGGGCAGTGGATCTGGAGTCACACCTTCTTGGACTTTCGTTGGTTAATGAGGTTCCTCATGACAGGTGCAGCAATATTTGCAGCAATACTCTTAGGATGTTTTTGGATGCCCCATCCCGTAAGAAATTATGTCAGGGGATACGGTGAGTTGAAGGAATCATATTTTTTGGAAGACTTGGAATAAAATGCTTTGGGTCTGGGACCCACCTGTGGCACATGTTTCCATGTTTTGTGTCCGCTGCTTGCGACATATTTTGCCACTCCTGAGATGTCAGAGACCCTCGGAATTTCAGAGTTGCCAGCGCTGAGCAGATATGTTTTTGGCCAAAAGTTTCCAAAGTCGCGTTCATTTGGCTTCCAAAGCAAGTCATGGCAAATGCCTTGAAAACTCCAAAGTGCATTGATTTCTGTTTGATGATGTTGGAAGCAGAGGGCTTTGATGGCGAAAGAGTCGGCAATGGTTCAGATAGAAACCAAAATCACTTGTGGTTTGCGATTCAATTCGCTTAATGGCCATTGTTGGTTTCCAGTTGCGCCTTTTGTGCGCAGATGCAATCTGTGCAATCCGCCCGTGTTGCCGTGCCGAGGGCAGGCCAAACTGGGCGAGGACCACCCAGATACTTTGAACAGCCTCAACAATTTGGCGGCGGTCCTCAAAGCCCAGGGGCACCTGGCGGAAGCCGAGCCTTTTTTGCGCGAGGCTCTAAAGAAGAGCCCGGGAGCTCAGCTTCAAAGATTTCAATGGGACTTTGGGCAGTGGATCTGGAGTCACACCTTATTGGACTTTCGTTGGGTAATTAGGCTCCTCATGACACGTGCAGCAATATGTGCAGCAATACTCTTAGGATGTTTTTGGATGCCCCATCCCGTAAGAAATTATGTCAGGGGATACGGTGAGTTGAAGGAATCATAATTTTTGGAAGACTTGGAATAAAATGCTTTGGGTCTGGGACCCACTTGAAAACTCCAAAGTGCATCAAAGTGCATCGATTTCTGTTTGATGTGTTGCTGGAAGCAGATTGCTGTGATGGCGAAAGAGTCAGCAATGTTTCAGATAGAAGCCAAAATCACTTGTGTTTGCGATTCAATTCGCTTAATGGCCATTGTTGATTTCCAGTTACGCCTTTTGTGCGCAGATGCAATCTGTGCAATCCGCCCGTGTTGCCGTGCCCAGGGAAGGCCAAACTGGGCGAGGACCACCCAGATACTTTGCTCAGCCTCAACAATTTGGCGGCGGTCCTCAAAGCCCAGGGGCATTTGGCGGAGGCCGAGCCTCTTTACCGCGAGGCTCTAGAGAAGGGCCCGGGAGCCCAGCTTCAAAGATTTCAAAGGGGCTTTGGGCAGTGGATCTGGAGTCACACCTTCTTGGACTTTCGTTGGGTAATGAGGTTCCTCATGACAGGAGCTGGTGCAGCAATACTCTTGGGTTTTTTTTAGCATTTTTTGGTCCAAAAGTTTCCAAAGTTGCGTTCATTTGGCTTCCAAACCAAGTCATGGCAAACGCCTTGAAAACTCCAAAGTGCATCAAAGTGCATCGATGTCTGTTTGATGTGTTGCTGGAAGCAGATTGCTTTGATGGCGAAAGAGTCAACAATGTTTCAGATAGAAACCAAAATGAGATTTTTTGGGACGCAGATTGCCGGCAAGAAATTCAGACACAGTGCAGCCCAAGAACGTCAGAAAGTCTGTGAATTGCAAGTAATTATTTCTGTTTGATGATATTGAATGATATTGACAGACACTGCAGCCCGGAGCTTCAGAAAAAGTCTGTGATTCCGTTTTTCTTTGAGACTTGGCTCGCAGGGCGCCTCAAGCTGGGGAAGCAGCATCCGAATACCATGATGACCATCTACAACTTGGCCGTCCTGTTGAAGTCGATGAAGAAGTTCGAAGAGGCCGAAGAACTCTTCCGCGAGGAGCTCGCGGCCTGCAACTCTCCCAGCATGTTGAGCATGTCTTTCTCGTTGCGTCGGTGTGTTCAGAAACCCGGTTCGTGATTCCAGGGAGATGGCGGCCCTCTTGCTATTTTCTGAGTTTTCTGCAGAGACGGGGCTTGCCAAGGCATATCACGTCATGGAGAACACCACGAAGAGACCCTGGATTCCATGGAAAATTTGGCGGAGTTTCTCGAGGACCCCGCAAGATTTCAGACGTTTGGAAGTCAATGTGTCGAGGAATCCAACCTCTGCAGGAGCGCGGAAAAGTGGATGAGGCACAGGAACTTCTGCATTTGGCCGGCCGAACTGCTCAGTGAAGGCGGGGCGTGAGGGTGTGAGAGACATTCACAAGTCCTCAGACAGATTGTTGATGGTGGGGAAACAGTTGCATGTTTGGAGAAGGGGTGTTGGTTCAGATGTCTGGAATTTGCGCTGTATCACGCGGACCTTCGCACCGCAAGCTGTATCTGTCGACCGAACACAGCGAACCAAAGGCTTCCCGGTTCAAGCTGATAGTGGTGTAGGATGATAGCCTGAGCCTCATCACGTCCCTTCACTTTTGAGCAACTTGCGAGGCCAACAACTGCGAAAGTGAGATGGTCAAAGCACTATCATTCTGCGACCTGTTGCTTCTGATGGGGCCTTCAGCAATCTTCGAAGAATCCAGCGAATGGCAGCTTTTGTTAAGACGGGGTGACAACTTCTACCGGTTGTAGGCGCAAAACTGGCCTCTGTGGTTGCGGAAGAACCCCGTCAGATTGATAGCTTCATTTCATGTTGGTTAGAGGTGTCGAAGGCACGAAGGTCATGTGATGAACACTTTTACTGTCTGAAATCTGGTTGTGGCAGATGTGATGCTCAAAAATCCAATAACTTCAGATTTTGGGTTGCCTCCGTGACCTCACGCCTCGAAAGCCCTTTGCAAAGCAAACGGTTCGTCGGCCTGCGCCTTGACGCTGTTTGGTGGCGGAAAAAACGGGACGCCGCAGCGCGTGAGTGAACGGATCCATCACGTGCCACTCACTGCTTTCCAGTGGGTTTGTTAAGACGGCAACAGCTTGCTAGACCTTGGGAGGCCCAATGCTTTGCCACAGCCTCAGCAGGGCATAGCATCGCATGTCAGATAACTTCAGCGTTAGTGTGGCATTCGGAAAGTATGCAAAGATTTCCATTTTCATATCATGAACCTAAATAACCTAATATTCACACCCTAGAAAAGGTCAAAAAACAACTTCAGAAAACAATATGTAAAAAGACGCATATTTTTTCGCCGCGCGTCCGTCATTTAACATTTTTGCCTTCAAGAGAAAGTGGGCAAAATAGCCAGAGCAATTCCGATAGGTTGTTATCTATTATCGCTTCTACCTCCTCGTGAATGATTGTTGCCAGTACCCCGTTCTGTTTTTGGTTGGTTTTGGTTCAGGTTGCAAACTGCTTTGTTTTTCAAAACCAAATGAACAAAAAAGGCTTTGGTCTTTGGTGGCAGTTTATGATTGCCCACTTCCGGAAATAAATAGCATTGTTTTTTTAATTGGGTTTTCAACGAACTTGTATACTGCACAGTATGGGGATGAACTCGTGAAATGGGGCGTGGGATAATGTGAGTTGAGTTGGTACCATTGGTACCATGGGATGTTTACACATTGGCTTTTGGACAAATGAAATCTGAGCCCACTGCCAAATCATCAGCGCTTATTGATCAACCGCAATTCGGTTGAATCTGTGACAGCTGATTCAGCACCCAGGCAGCATGGGATTCTTTGGGTTCTAGCGCCATGAGGCCCTTTTCAACAGAAGATCTGGCTACAAACTACTAAAAAGGACAACGGATTCGGATTCACTTGATCGTGTGTTCATTTTTGTGGAGTCTTAGACATATCCATTTTGGAGGCTGGCTAGTTGGGAACCCCGGGCATCACCGTGCAATCACTGTGCACCTATTCCGCGGCCCAAGGCACGAACCGGAAGGCTTGGCACCGGGAATGGTTCTGTGGTGTTTTCTGGTGAAGAGTGGAGTAATTATCCATCAGTTCAGGGGGATGATAGTGGGTATGGGGCCAATAAAGCTAAGGCACTTGGCATTTTCTTAGCATCCGTGACAAGATCTCGTGAGTGCGGATTTGTTTTTCGGGAAAACGGAGGTGCGGCCCAACACCTTTGGGGCCAGAAACGGGTACGGATCAAAATTTGGCGCCTCCAAAAACCGGACAGCTCAAAATGGTCATATTGAAACAATTTTAAACACACATGGTTGGATGGGGCGTCACGTGGAAGAAGATGAAGAAGTATATAATCGAAGCTATTTGTTTCCAATGTGAAAAGTAGAAGTACCCAAAACGTGAGTTGGGTGAAAACCGTTCAGGTGGAGTTGAATCGCATTTTTGTAGCTCCCACAGCTGGGTGATGTCTGAATGATCGCAGCCAAGAACTTGAGGGTCTTTGTTTTGTTCCTTTGTTTTATTGCCTTGGATGATGTGCAATAGGTCGCCGATGTCATGCCAATGTCATACGGTTCCCAATTTTAGGCTCACAGCGACAGTGGGCCGTGAAAGATGCACATCACTGGAAGAGCCACGATGTTGAAGATGAACACTCTTTACTGGCCATATCTGGCCATTTTTTTGTTGGAGGGGGAGAAAGATCCACTACCTTGGAAGTTGGGTTTTGCTCATGACTTTCGATTTGCAATTTCCATTCACGGTTGGCTGTACTTGCTGACACAACCTCTGAGGCTCATGACATTGCCAGGAACCTTTCCTAGATTGTGTCACTACGATTTCGCTCTGCCAGAATTTCCATTGCCCAAGATGTGCATCCAACGATGGCCTTGGATGCAGTTGCAGGGAGGCCCAGATGTGCTGGGATTCATTTGTTGAATAGCCTTTGACCGTAAATTAACGGTACCGCTATTGTCCACAGTGGTTACAGAGAAAGTGGTTTGGAATCTGTTGTCGCTGCTGGTCTTGACACAGGATCTAAATTTGGAGGAACTTCAGCAGGCAAATGACCATGTGAAGGCCTTTGGCGTGGTCTTGTGGTTGGAAGCTTCTTGTGCAAAGCACATTCTGTCCGCTGATTCTTTAGACCCAGACTTTGGCGAAGACAGCGGTGAAACGTGTTTGTGGTTTCCATTCCCTGGAAAGGCCTTCTTGGACACCTTTTGTGACTGTCTCCGGGAGCAAAGACTTGAGCGCCAGAGACTCCAGGTTCACCTGGGTACAGCTGAACCAAGTGATCCGGAAGTAAATGGTTTTCCATAGCAATAGTTTTCCAACACAAGAGTTGACAGAGAGGGTACAAAGGTGAGGTCAACATAGTTCAACCTTTTCATGTTCTGGTCTTGTTTTTGTGGCCCTCCCTGTGTTGTTGGCATTGCAACAATCTTCCTACTTTCCATTGGTTGGAACTCATCAAATTCTCATCCCATTCTCCCATTCTGACTTGGTTAATGTAGAAACCGTCAAACACCCTCAGAGCCCAACTTAGGATTCGTGATTTGTGTTTCTGGAATTGCATGTTTCTAACCGAGCTCAGAACTGCCAGGGTCATCCAACTTCAGATTTTCTCAGCCAGGCACAGCATCAATGGCATGATCCTCAGTCGCGGATGGTGCAGATTTTGGTTGGCTGATGATTTAAGATTGGCAAACTGCGGATGTCGTCTTTGTTTTTGCCCGGAAATGTCATGTTTCCACAACCTACTCCAAACATTTCTGGTGATCTTGGGGATGGTTTGTCAGTGGGTTTTCAAGTTTTCTACATTGCTCGTCAATCGCTGATCATTGACCAGCAGCTTCAACCATGAACCAAGTGCCCAGCCCAAGGTGCTCTCTGCAATTTCCTGGCTGTCGGAGAATGCAGACCCTCAACAGCTGCTCTGCTGCAGCCAGTTCTTGTCAGATGTTTTTGTGCTTTGTCCATTCATTGCATGTCCAAGTCAGACCCTGACCAAAGTGCCGGATGCTTGATGATGCTTCTCATTTTTTTCAAAATTATCAAGGCCTCAGACTGTCAGACTCTGATTTTTTCATATGTTTTCCGGTATTTGTCCTGAACATAGCTACCCGTCACAAACAAACATATATCGGACACCCTTTTCGTGAATTATACGACATAGCTAAGGCCAAAGATGTCAGAGAGCTACATGAGGTGCAAGCGGAGTTGGAAATATCGGACTGTTCGGCTGCAAGAAAGGATTCCGCCCAAGATTTCAAAGGCAGTCAGAGAAGTCATGGGATTCCGACATGCTCCAAGACATTGTTCTTCAGATGATAGATGCAAGAGTATGAACAAGTTCCTCCATGTTCCTCCTTTATACACCGTGGCATACAGTTTGCTGCAAGGCCGGCTACCTAGTTGCCCGCAGGTCTAATGCCTACTACGCTGTCAAGGTGTGGGGTCTCTCTGTGTGTCCCATGGGAGGGTGGCCCTGTGGTGGGGCACTTGGACTTGCTTGACACCAGGCTCAAGAAACCATCCCCGTGGCCAAAGATATTCCAATGGAGTGAGACTGAAGGGACGTGGATAGCTCGGTTTCAGGTTGGGACATTTTGATTCATGATTAAAGTATATTAAAGTATTAAAGAACCATAGTGAACCTTGGTGTATAAAAGGCACAAAATCTCCAGAGAAGGAGTTGCACTAAGTAGTTCCTCAACCATCCTGGTGCCCAGAATGAATTCCTCAGGCAGGGTTCATTTTGATGGCTTGAACTTGTTGCGTTTCTGGCTCAAGGGTGACGGCATGTACGGCATGTCTGGTGCCGACTGAGCTCCCGGGTCTAGCTGGGACCGCCAAAAATGGCGGTGCCAGGGACCCCATGACATGAGGGGCAGAGCAAGAATAGAAATCGAACATCATGATGAGAATTCTTTTCACACGACCTACCGGGTTCCTTGGCTGCACTAGCGCTGCAAGATTCTGAAAGCATTTGATGTGCTGACTGGAGGGTTGTCTATTGTGATGCAGGAACACCGGTTGTCTAAGCCCATGCTTGATAGGATTGTTGCTTGCTACTTTTCTGAGGTCGAGAGATACATGGAATATGCCAAAGAAGTAGAAAGACAACTGCAAAGGCATATGCAGGTCGCAAGCGGGTCTTGCACCATCTTGGGCGTGGATCAAAATAATCAAGATGCAGTATCCAAAAAGCGACGGATGGTTCAACAAAGAATATTGATGAATATGGGAAACCGCAACTCTTGACACATGCCTGTATTTGCTCATGTTTTGTTTCGCGACACATGTTTATCCATATGTGTTGTACAACCCTTTCCCCCCAATATTGAATAGTTACACCATCCAATTAGCAACCATGGTTTAAAGATGTTTCAAGCATTGGATCTATTCATTTCGGATGGTTGCTAGGGGGAAGGGATATTTCATGTCCGTCCATGTTCATGAAATGATGTTCGATTTCTGCTGGGAAAGTCCATGGTTTTCGTGGTGCCAGGAGAAGGACATACCCTGGGAATTGAAAACAAACCCAGGGCCACCAAAGGGCTGCTCGCCTTTCTGGAACTGCAAGGGTTGGTTCACCACCACCAAAGGCCTGGGTGAAACATGGTGAAACATCTGAAAAGTCCCCCATGTTGGGGTCATGGTTCCGAACTGCCTAAAACTGCGATTGCTGACATGGAGTACTCATTGACCTTTGACATCCGTTGGCATGAGTTGGTCAAAATGATGCCACCGACTCTTTTCCGGGAACCATCAGAAACCCAGCATAACCCAGTGGCAAAAAATGAACGAATCAACTTCTGCCCGCTGAACCCAAGAAACTGAAATTGGCCCTGCACCTGTTGCAGGTGAGAAGGTGCGCTATCCTCGCTTGGGTTCCTTTGAGGTCTTTGTAGTGGTGCAACCCGGCTTTGCGCCAAAGATCTCTGGGCTCCCAGATGTCCTCCAGGTCTGGTCCAAGTTGCAGCTTGGATGCGGTTTGCCACGTTGTGCAATTGAAGTGGATTTTCGTGGATGGCGCCTCAAAGCCAGGTGCGGGACACGACCGGACACCCACAAACACTTGAGCAATGCCATCAATACTTGTAGCCATCAGGAATGGGATTGAAGTTGAACATGTCATTCAAAAACTCGGAGAGGGTGAACTAGCCTGCAGCACCAGGTTGATTGCTGCTGTGTGTCTATATTCACACATGCTATGAATATGTATACATGCATGGACGCATGCACATAATTTCCATTTCGTATGTCTATACTGTGCTGGTACTCAGTACAGAGTCGTAATTTGGAACACTTCACGTGCACCAGGCTGCATGTTTCCTCGCCCTGGGCCCCAACCATAGTCACAGCGCCATCCACCCAGCCCCTGCGCTTTGACCCAAGGCAGTCACGGAAATGGCCAGGTCCGGAGCGATTGGCATCGTCAGTGGCTGAACTCCTCTCTGCCGCAGTGAATGGACAGGAGGCTGCCAGCGTCCAACCTGAGGGAATGGGGTAACTGAGAGTTGATCATGTTGGAATACTGCAACACGAATACTTAAGTTACTCCAGATGTTTCACAATATTGAGTTGAGGCTCAGAAATGTGCGGGTTCCTCAAAACGTCCAGCTTCGAATCTCACATACTATTGCAACTCCGCACTACACCACTTGAGTCGTTATGACACTAACCAAAGGACCCGTGAGCGTCCGAATTTCACATTTCAATTGACATTGACACTAGACGACACTAGTGAGTTGCCAGGGTGACGTGGGCTATTCAGTACGATAAGAAGTATGCAAGCGGGTTGATGAACAAATTCTTTGTCGACAGTTGACGGCTTGCCGATGTTCCTTCAAATCTGATTCCGTTTGAATGTGACAAGTATCTTCGTGGTGATGATGTGTCTTCCACCTGTCTGTTCAGTCGTCGTCATCATCATCGTAGCAGTAAAATATCATTTGAAACATGAGTGTGTGATAGTGTGTGTCGGTGTTGAAATATCAGAACATATTAATCATTATCACCATCGCCATGATGGCCATGATGTTTTGTTTTTTCCCGCTTGCTGCTGTCCAGATGTGACATGACAGGTGGGCGAGGAGATTCGTGAGATCAAGGAACGCGTGTCTCAAGGTCCCAAGGTGCAGCCACCATTGACCTCCATCCATCCGCCCATGTGCCTTGCACAGCGATCAGTAGTAGGCTTTAGTAAATTTAGTAGGCCTTGCAAAGTGCAAGGAAATTGCAACATTTATTTATTTTGTTGCTTTTGGTGGGTTCTCAACCAGAAATGCTGGGCTATTGCCATCTAAGATCATGGAAGTCTTGAACGTTCTTCACCATTTTGTCTACCATCGTAGTTGTCATCCATCTAGCAGCTCCTGATGTCCACTAATATCTCCACATATCTCCAACATCCCAATTCGTTCAAATCCTTTCAGGGTCTCCCAATCCCCATCCAGTGATTTCCATGAGATTTCCAGCCATTTCCACCATGATTTGCTGTTGCAACTCAGGTTCTTTGGTTTGACGCCCCGTGGTGGCATCACCACCCCAGTAAAAGTCCGTGTCGCCGGAGATCGCCCCCGTGGTGGCATCACCACCCCAGTAAAAGTCCGTGTCGCCGGAGATCGCAGCCGCAGCATCTTAAAAAATGTCGAGAAGAAGAACAGGTTGGGCCGCGGGCTTAAAGTTGAGCCGAGGTCGAACATGCAAAGAAAACGGCCTGATGTGTTGCCAGCAGAGGAGGTTGCCGTTGCCTCCTTTCTGCCAAGCTTTAGCAACATTTGATGTTTCTTCTGTCGTGTAGTGTAGCAGTGTTGCAGAATGTAGCAGGCAACTCGTCGTCGCGCAATTCAGATGCGATCGACGTTTGTCGCCTAGGCCGGACGGAGCTCCACAATGCCGTCTGCCGGGGTGACGAAACGTGCGTCCAGCAGCTGCTGCAAAATCGCGCAGCTGTCGATGCCAAGGACGGAAGCGGCCCGAACCTCTGGACCGCGAAGAGTTGCAAGGTGTTTCCTGACAAGTCAATCTTGACAATCTTAATACAATTTGAAAGTTTAGAGTTCCCAAGTTGACGAGGAAATTGGAATGTGCCATGACATGCTCAGCTTGGTGCATTTTTGTGTCAAGTTCTCAGGTTTTCTCAAGTTTTCGTGCGCTGAGGCCGGACGCCACTTCACTTGGCCAGCGATGCTGCCAGTGAGGTCGGAGTCAAACTCATTGAGCTGCTGCTGGAGGCCAGGGCCACGACTGATGCCACAGACCTCAGCGGCCTGGAGCCTCAGCCTCTGAGCTCTTCGGAGCTGATGAATGTGGAGGAATGAATGTGTGTGATGTGCGTGTGATGCGCGTGTGATGCGCGTGTGATGCGCGTGTGATGCGCGTGTGATGTGGATGTTGACTGCTTGGGATTTCTTGGCGACCATCCCACAAAAACCTTCGGCTGAAAAGGGTGCAGGTGTTCTGTCAACTTGTCCAGTTCCGTTATTTGGTGTCAAAGTTTTTCGGCTCTCAGGTCTCACTCCCTTGAATTTGGCGTGCGACTCCAAATACACGGAAGCGGTGGCAGTTCTGCAGAGTGCTGTTCCTCGACTGCCAGCCCTTGACTTGTATCGCTTGTATCGACCTGCATTTTTGCAATTCCTATTGAACCTGGTATACGTACGGGATCTGTGAATTTTTGTTGAGCTTAAAGGACCATGTATGCCAGGGACCAAGACAGTGCCATAGGATCGAAAACTGAGAAGACATCGCACCTCCATACAGCAAACCGAAGGAAAGCGGGACAACCGGGACAACCGGGCTAACGATGTTCCAGGATGTTCCAGGAGTCCTTTCATGTTCCGTTTGATTGCGATTCACTATGTGTTTCACCTGTATTCGAAGAGACTGCTGCACCAAGGAGGGCTCATCACGAGTTCCAGAAGAGCTAGCCGAGGATTACGGCGGGACAGAGGCCGTCCCCTTTGTTTGCCAAAGCGAAGAGTTTGTTTGTCTAAGAAGATGTTGGCTTTTGGATCAAGGCAATCAAGTTGAATGATTTGTTTGTCTGTGTTTGAATTGAATCCTTTACCCACAAAAATTGCTGTACTTTTTATTCAATGACATTTTTGATGCATGCTGGTTTCGCAAAAAATGCAAATCATTTCCCTTTCAAAATCAGGTAGGTAGACTACTTTACATTCTCTCTTTGCAGGTGAGTCCTACCAGGAATTGTCATCTTTGACGAAGAAAGTAACATGGAAACTCACTTGAGCACGGAAGACAACGTCCGAGAAGCAAGAAGGTTACAGTTACAAGTTACAATCATTTAATCAGATTCTTGCTTTCGCGGGGTTCCCCTTAACCGACACCATACCGACACCATTTTGAGTCCATTGTCATTTTAATGTAGCGATTTGCAGGGGGTCAAGCATCAAACGTAAGGCCCTGATCTACTTTGGGCCATGCACTGTCTAAAGATTTTCTTTCCAAGAATCGTTGCCATGAACCCTTCTTGATCCACGAATCCACACTTCCAAAAGCCTCAGGGCGTAAAACATCCTGCATGCTGATCATGGATTGTTTTTTGTTCACTGTCTTGGGATGACTTGGATGAATTGCATTGGTAGCGCGTTTGGGTCCGGTATTCCACTCGGAGCCAGAGATGATTGCATCGCACTCAAACAAGAGATGACCACTTGGCATCGTAAGCCAGCTGCTTTGATGTGACATGTTTCTGTTGGATGTGATATTTTGGTACCTGTGTGATCTGTAGCCATTTGACGGCATGCAGTCAGACAGCAATTGCATTCCAGTCAGACAGCAATTGCACGTTTCCTCAGTCAACTTCGTATCGCTGTGCAATCGGTTGCTGCTGTTCTTGTGTTGCCTGCTTTCAGTAGGAGCTACATTACTACACTTGCCGCAGTCGCTTGGCAGGTCCAGCACGCTGCGATGTCGTCATCTTTGGTAGTGCTGTTGCAGCTGACGGTGCTCATGTATCTGTGCTTCCGAAAAATGACACTGGCTCCGGTGGCGCGCTTGGGTCGGCGTGGAACAAGGGGACGCCGCGGCTGTTGGCGTGGCAGGCGTGGCACTTGGAGACATCCACCTTCGTTTCACGTGGCATGCGTGGTACTTGGTGGCATCGACTGGGCATGTACCTCTGCTGCATCACTTGCACTTTTGCGTACACTGTGACATGTTTGGAGCGGATGAGATTGTCGTACCTGCGTCATCTATAGCCATCTGACACCATATATATATATGCATCCATCCATCCATCCATCCATCCATCCACCCACCCACCCATCCATCCATCCATCCATCCATCCGTCTATCCATCCATCCATCCATCCATCCATACATACATACATGCATGCATACATGCATACATACATGCATACAACACAACTTGCCCATACACAACTTACTCGTACTTACTCTTCCACACACAACTTGCTCCACACCAATCCTTCACCATCTCTTTTCCCTTTCTTGCTTTCCCCATGCCATCTTTACCTTTCTTTTGCTACTTGTTGGAAGAAAGTTGACATGTGGGGTTATCCGGTCCTTTAATTTTCAGCTAATGGGTTTGCCAATTCACCCACACAAAGCGACCGGCCAGCCGATTCAGCCACACATAGCGGCAGGCCACCCGAGTCAGCACACGAAGCGGCCGGCCGGCAAATTCAGCCACGCACAGAGACCAGCCGGCCGCCGTGTGTGGCTGCAGCGCGGCCGATTCAGCCATGCGAGATGGAGGCCCAGGCAGCCGGCCGGCCGGCCGGCCGATTCAGCCACTCGACCCAACTGGCCGGCCGGCCGATTCAGCCACTCGATCCAACCGGCCGGCCGGCCGATTCAGCCACTCGACCCAGCCGGCCGGCCGATTCAGCCACTCGACCCAGGCGGCCGGCCGGCCGATTTCAAATTTCAGCCCGGATTGCACCACCTCATTGCATTGGTAGCGTGTTTGGGTCCGGTATTCGTTTTCAGCCAGCCAGCCAGCCAGCCAGCCACAGCGGCCGATTCAGCCAGCCAGCCAGCCACAGCGGCCGATTCAGCCAGCCAGCCAGCCACAGCGGCCGATGCAGCCGCCAGCCAGCCCCAGCGGGCCGAGCAGGCAAGCCAGCCAGGCCACAGCGGCCGAGGGCAAGCCAGCCAGCACCCACGCGGCCGATGCACGCCAGCCAGCAGCCCACAGCGCCCCGACTCAGCCAGCCAGCCAGACACAGCGGCGATATGCAGCCAGCAGCCAGCCCCAGCGGCCGATGCAGCCAGCCAGCCAGCCACAGCGGCCGATGCAGCCAGCCAGCCACCCACAGCGGCCGATGCAGCCAGCCAGCCAGCCACAGCGGCCGACTCAGCCAGCCAGCCAGCCACAGCGGCCGATGCAGCCAGCCAGCCAGCCACAGCGGCCGATGCAGCCAGCCAGCCAGCCACAGCGGCCGATGCAGCCAGCCAGCCAGCCACAACAGAGGAGACTTCTAAAGGAAGATGTGGCTTCAAGCAAACAAGACGTGGCTTCGAACGAAAGACAAGACTTCAAACTAGAAGAAAGGACTTGAAACGGAAAGAGGACTCGAAACGAAAACAAAGAGAGGACTTCGAACGAAAGAGAGGATTTGAAACGAAAAGAGACGAGTTCAAATATCACGAAAGGATTTGAACTGAAACGAAAGGATTTGAAACGAAAAAGTAGATTGAAAACAAAGAAAGGATTTCGAACAAAAACAAAGGGTTTGAAACGACAAAGAAGATTGGAAACAAAGAAATGACTTTGAACGAAAGACAAGGCTTCGAATGAAAGAGAAGATTTCGAACGAAAAGAGAGGTCTTCAAACGAAAGACATGACTTCAAACGAAAAGAAAGCATTTGACACGAAAAGAAAGGACTTTGAATAAAAAACAGAAGTTTTCGAAAAAAGGATTTCGAACGAAAGACATGATTTCAAACGAAAGAGAGGACTTGAAACCAAAGCAAGGGTCCATGCGCTTGCGTGGCTGCGTTGCTTTGAGAGGCTGCCAAAAAAAAGACGATCAGAAGATATGCCAGAAAGAATATCATTTGCTTTGTGTTGCTGGAACCTCCAGATCGCAGTGGTCTCCGCCGGACCTCAACTGCAAGTTCCCGCCAGACCTTGTCCGCAAGGAGGAGGACAAGGAAGCCCAGCGCCATACAGTTGCAAAACATGATAGGGTCACTCGAAGTAAACTAATTTCATTTTCACACGGATGCCAGATAGAATGTCAGAAGACATGCCAAATAGAATGTCACAAAAAAAGGCAGAGGACATGCCAGATAGAATGTCAGAAAGAATGTCAGAAAGAATGTCAGAAGACATGCCAGATAGAATGTCAGAGGATATGCCAGATAGAAAGCCAAAAAGAATGTCAAAAGACATGCCAGATAGAATGACAGAAAAATGTCAAAGAACATGCCAGATAGAATGTCAGAAAAAATATCAGAAGACATGCCAGATAGAATGTCAGAAAGACTGTCAAAAGATATGCCAGATAGAGTGCCAGAAAGAATGTCTGAAGATATGCCAGACAGAATGCCACAAAGAATGCCAGAAGATATGCCAGCTAGAAAAAGTCACGGTGGGGATCACTCGGAGCAAAGTAATTTTATATTCTTGTTTTTATGTTTAGTCATTTCCTAGCTGGTATCATGATGTCCAACCACTAACCATTATTTCCCCACATCTTTGTGTGGGGTTCTTGTTTTTGGTTCTGTATCCGTCCGTCCTCCCGTCCTCCTCCCGTCCTCCCGTCCTCCCGCCTCACACACAACTTGCTCACACACAACTTACTTACTCACACACAACTTACCCACACACACACACGCACAACTTACTCACTTGCTCACACACACAACTTACTCACACACAACTTACTCACACACAACTTACCTACACACACACAACTTTCTCACACACAACTTGCACACACACCCAACTTACTCACACACAACTTGCTCACACACAACTTGCTCACACACAGCTTGCTCACACACAACTTGCTCATACACAACTTGCTCACACACAACTTGCACACACACACACGCACACAAAACTTACTCACATACAACTTACTCACACACAACTTGCTCACACACAACTTGCACACACACACACAACTTACTCACACACAACTTACTCACACACAAGTTGCTCACACACAACTTACTCACTTGCTCACACACAACTTACTCACACACAACTTACTCACACACAACTTACACACACACACACAACTTGCTCACACACAACTTGCACACACACAACTTACTCACACACAACTTGCTCAAACACAGCTTGCTCACACACACAACTTGCTCACACACAACTTGCTCACACACACAACTTGCACACACACACAACTTACTCATACACAACTTGCTCACACACAACTTGCTCACACACAACTTGCACACACACACACAACTTACTCACACACACAACTTGCTCACACACAGCTTGCTCACACACACAACTTGTCATCACACCACGTGCTCACACACAACTTGTCGTCACACAACTTACTCTGGCGTGGCAGGTGTGGCACTTATGGCATTGGGCTGGCTCTGGTGGCGCGCTTGGTTTTAGGTGTGGCGCCGGGACGCCGCGGCTGTTGGCGCGGCAGGCGTGGCACTTGGAGACATCCATCTTCGTTTCACGCGGCAGGCGTGGTACTTGGTGACATCGACTTCTACTCTGGCGTGGCAGGCTTGGCACTTATGGCACTGGGCTGGCTCTGGTGGCGCGCTTGGTTTTAGGTGTGGCGCCGGGACGCCGCGGCTGTTGGCGTGGCAGGCGTGGCACTTGGAGACATCCATCTTCGTTTCACGTGGCAGGTGTGGTACTTGGTGACATCGACTTCTACTCTGGCGTGGCAGGCGTGGCACTTATGGCACTGGGCTGGCTCTGGTGGCGCGCTTGGTTTTAGGTGTGGCGCCGGGACGCCGCGGCTGTTGGCGTGGCAGGCGTGGCACTTGGAGACATCCATCTTCGTTGCACGTGGCAGGCTTGGTGCTCGCGCACAACTTGCTCACACACAACTTGCTCACACACACAACTTGTCATCACACCACGTGCTCACACACACAACTTGTCATCACACAACTTACTCTGGCGTGGCAGGTGTGGCACTTATGGCACTGGGCTGGCTCTGGTGGCGCGCCTGGTTTTAGGTGTGGCGCCGGGACGCCGCGGCTGTTGGCGTGGCAGGCGTGGCTCTTGGAGACATCCATCTTCGTTTCACGTGGCAGGCGTGGTACTTGGTGACATCGACATCGACTCTGGCGTGGCAGGCGTGGCACTTATGGCATTGGGCTGGCTCTGGTGGCGCGCTTGGTTTTAGGTGTGGCGCCGGGACGCCGCGGCTGTTGGCGTGGCAGGCGTGGCACTTGGAGACATCCACCTTCGTTTCACGTGGCAGGCGTGGCACTTGGTGAGATAAACATCTCTGCTGCATCACTTGCACTTTTGCGTACACTGTGACATGTTTGTGCTAGATGAGATTGTCGTACCTGCATCATCTGTAGCCGTTTGACACCATGCAGTCAAACACTGTGACATGTTTCTGTTTGGATGCTATTTTCGTGTCTGCGTTGTCTGTAGCCATTTCAGTCAGACAGCCACTACACATTTCGAAAACATGCAGTCACACTGCAATGACACCACCACTCGGAGCCAGAGATGATTGCATCGCACTCAAACAAGAGATGACCACTTGGCATCGTAAGCCAGCTGCTTTGATGTGACATGTTTCTGTTGGATGTGATATTTTGGTACCTGTGTGATCTGTAGCCATTTGACGGCATGCAGTCAGACAGCAATTGCATTCCAGTCAGACAGCAATTGCACGTTTCCTCAGTCAACTTCGTATCGCTGTGCAATCGGTTGCCGCTGTTCTTGTGTTGCCTGCTTTCAGTAGGAGCTACATTACTACACTTGCCGCAGTCGCTTGGCAGGTCCAGCACGCTGCGATGTCGTCATCTTTGGTAGTGCTGTTGCAGCTGACGGTGCTCATGTACCTGTGCTTCCGAAAAATGACACTGGCTCCGGTGGCGCGCTTGGGTCGGCGTGGAACAAGGGGACGCCGCGGCTGTTGGCGTGGCAGGCGTGCCACTTGGAGACATCCACCTTCGTTTCACGTGGCATGCGTGGTACTTGGTGGCATCGACTGGGCATGTACCTCTGCTGCATCACTTGCACTTTTGCGTACACTGTGACACGTTTGGAGCGGATGAGATTGTCGTACCTGCGTCATCTGTAGCCATCTGACACCATATATATATATATGCATCCATCCATCCATCCATCCATCCATCCATCCATCCATCCATCCATCCGTCTATCCATCCATCCATACATACATACATGCATGCATACATGCATACATACATGCATACAACACAACTTGCCCATACACAACTTACTCGTACTTACTCTTCCACACACAACTTGCTCCACACCAATCCGTCACCATCTCTTTTCCCTTTCTTGCTTTCCCCATGCCATCTTTACCTTTCTTTTGCTACTTGTTGGAAGAAAGTTGACATGTGGGGTTATCCGGTCCTTTAATTTTCAGCTAATGGGTTTGCCGATTCACCCACACAAAGCGACCGGCCAGCCGATTCAGCCACACATAGCGGCAGGCCACCCGAGTCAGCACACGAAGCGGCCGGCCGGCAAATTCAGCCACGCACAGAGACCGGCCGGCCGCCGTGTGTGGCTGCAGCGCGGCCGATTCAGCCACGCAGAACGGCCGGCCGGCCGATGCAGCCACCCGAAGCCACGTGGCGGAAGCGGCCGGCCGGCCGATTCAGCCATGCGAGATGGAGGCCCAGGCAGCCGGCCGGCCGGCCGATTCAGCCACTCGACCCAACTGGCCGGCCGGCCGATTCAGCCACTCGATCCAACCGGCCGGCCGGCCGATGCAGCCACTCGATCCAACCGGCCGGCCGGCCGATTCAGCCACTCGACCCGGCCGGCCGGCCGATTCAGCCACTCGACCCAGCCGGCCGGCCGATTCAGCCACTCGACCCAGGCGGCCGGCCGGCCGATTTCAAATTTCAGCCCGGATTGCACCACCTCTCGAAAGAAAGGCGAAAGGCTGAGGCCTTCGAAAGCTGCTGCGAGGGTTTTGAGGGTTTTAAGGCCTGCCCAAAACGTGCCACGCGGCAGTTTCGAAGCCCAATAGAAACAACTTGTGGGGCCAATAGGGAAGCTTGTGGGGCCAATAGGGAGGCACCATGGCACAGCAAGGACGCTTCGAAAGCAGCTGCGGAGGGTTGTGCGGTTCGAAGGCCCTCGAAAGCTGCTGCAAGGTTTTGAAGGTTTTAAGGCTTGCCCAAAACGTGCCACGTGGCAGTTTCGAAGCCCAATAGAAACAGCTTGTGGGGCCAATAGGGAGGCACCTCATGCAAAGCCAGCAGGACGTTTCGAGAGCTGCTGCGGAGGGTTGTGCGGTGCATACATACATACATACATACATACATACATACATACATACATACATACATACATACATACATACATACATACACACATACATAAATATAAATAAATAAATAAATAAATATATATATATATATATATTGTGCTGATATACTATATATAGTTTAATTACGTGTATTTGTGTTTGTGCGTGTGTGTTATCGTTTGTCTGTATTCAGTGCCTGCCTGTGTGTGTGAGAGACAGTGCGAGACAACTGCCTTGCAGCAGCTGCCTGGTTTGACGAAGAAACTGCTCATGTCTCTCCAAAAGTGTCCCCTAAAGCCAGACAGCTTCAGGTTCCCTGCGCAGGGAGGCAGACCCCTGCAGTCGATGACTATGGCGAAGATGAGTTTGAGGATGAGGAGCCAGTGGCTGTTCCAGCTGCTGTTCCGGCAAAGGTGCCAGGACCAGCTGCGGGGCATGCGCCTATGCCAGCACAGCTAGCTGCGCCTTCAGCGGCTTCCGTGTCGCAGCCAAAGGCGGGACGTCGCTTGAAACACGATTGAGGGATTGCCGATTATGGGGAATTGCGATTATGGGGAAGATGACTTCGAAGATGAGGAATTGCCGCAAGCTGCAGCTCCAGCGACTCAGGCTCAGGCGTGCGGTTGCATCATGGCATTCCTGGGGACAGTATTTGGCCGTTACAATGTTGTAGCTTTGTAGTTGGATATTGTTGGATTATTTGTTGATGGTTTGTTCGTGCATGTTCGTGTTTGAGAATTTCATGTTCACAGTCGTCAGGATCCCAGAGGCCATAAAAGCGTATGAAATGCAAATCTTTGTGACGACACCCTAAAGGCATGGGCAAACAAAACTTATATCATCTATATATACATATTCTGTAAGATCAACGGGTGGTATCCATCTATCAGGACTCTGAGTGAAACGAAGGGCCCATGTCCCGGTGGCTTTGTGGGTAGCGACCCCATCAATAATGCTCTGCAGTGGTTCTGTTTTGTGAGTTGCCCCACTTGCAACAGGACGTTTCTTGGAACAGGAGCTCATATAGAATTGTGAATAACGAATGCAGGTGTTGAACCATACTTAAATAAAAGCTTAGCTATGCTTAACTTTATCTTGTTATCATGTTATCTTCGGTTCCTGATATCCGATGGTTTCTGAGTTTGCCAATGTTTCCCATGTCCTTGGACAGGACATTGCCAGCGACTACGGCGAAGACTTCGAATCTGAGGCGGCACCTGCGCTGCCTGAATCCCGGCCAGCTTCAGCGGCGCCAAAGGACCGCAACGTTCCTGGGAGGGGGGTCGGGCTGGGCTCAGCCCCAAGAACATAGGGAGTTATATATATATATATAATATTTAAGCGCTTACGCGCGACAGCCGGCCAGGGGCCCAACTATGTAGGCCCATTGTGTGGCTATGTTGGCCTATGTTGGCGTATGTTGGCCTATCTTGCGGGCAATGTGGGCCCATCTTGTGGCTATGTTGGCCTATGTTGGCCTATGTTGGCCTCATGTTGACCCATGTTGAGCCAAAAGATCCGAAAAATGGGAACAGCAAAAAAAACACTGTAAAACGCATGATATTTTGATGGTCGGCGGCCTATCTTGGGGCTATGTGGGCCCATCTTGGGGCTATGTTGGCCTATCTTGAGGGCAATGTGGGCCCATCTTGGGGCTATGTTGGCCCATCTTGGGGCTACGTTGGCCCATCTTGGGGCTATGTTGGCCCATCTTGGGGCTATGTTGGCCCACCTCGGGGGCTATGTTGGCCCATCTTGACGCTATGTTGGCTCATCTTGCGGCCTATGTTGGCCCAGGTTGACCCATCTTGAGCCACAAGCTCCGAAAAAGGAGAAAAAATGCGAAGAGCACAAAACACCGTAAAACGCGACAGTTTTTGGCCCTACCGGGTGGGTCGGCGGCAGGGGGCGCGGCCCCTCTCTCCTACGGAGAGGAGAGAAACGCCGTACGGCTATGCCACGGCCAGGGGGCCCCTGGCCGGATTTAAGCGCTTACGCGCAACAGCCGGCCAGGGGCCCAACCATCAGGGGCCGCGGCGGCGGACGTAGGTGTAGTGGTTCTTGCAGGGACCAAGACTGGTTGTTGTGGTTGTTGCGGATGTTGTGGATGTTGTGGATGTTGTGGAGGTTGTTGTTGTTGTTGTTGCTGTTGTTGCTGTTGTTGTTGTTGTTGTCGTGTTGTAGTGGTTGCAGTGGTGATAGGTAGAGAGGGAACGACGCCTGTGTGAAAGTGGTGCCTATGGGGCATGTGTTGGGAAAGGCATGTTTATAGGCAGGAGGCCGTCGCTTTGGTCAGCTAGAGGGTTGCTCAAGCGAGTGTCCGAGCGTTGCTCAGACCGACCAGAGCAGGGCAGCGGTGAAACCCGGCTTGTTTTGATGTGAAGAGCAATGCAGGCAATCCCACGTGGCATGTTTACCGAACGGTAGCACAGGCAGGGTGCAGAGCTTTGGTCAGCTGTTTCGAACGTATTTCTCGTATCCTTGCCGACTGAACGTTCAAAGGGCATGCCGCCTGTAGGCACTAGGCTTTTTTTTTCCGTCACAACAAGGTAAGAGATGTGTACCCCGCCTTGCCGGCAGATTACCCAGCGAACATGCCGCCTGAGAGCTGCTCCGACCGCATTCGCAGACAGGCAGTATCCGAATTGCAAACCAAGCCAGCAGTTCACTGCACGGATCCTGCTGCACCCAGGGCGTTACCCAGGCACTCGCCAAAGCTTAACCGTGCCTTCCCGGCGGTGTGTTTTAATTCGAACACGGCAGCCAACGAAAATAGAAGGTCGGTCTGGTCCAGGAGTTCCGTCTGTTGGAGGGTTGGTCTGCTCCAGGCTTTCCGTCGCGATCGCTTTGCCAGCAAGGGAAAAAGTATGTGTACAGTGAACGCAGCCTCGGTGGAACCGGCCGGGAGGGAAGAAGTGTCCGGAGTAGCTCGTTTGAAGCCTTGGTCAGCTAGAGCGTTGCTCAAGCGAGAGTCAGAGCGTTGCTCAGATCGACCAGAGAAGGCCAACTGTCAACCCGGTGTGGCACGTTTTCACAACGGCATGGCAAGTTTCGAGAACGGCATGTTTAAAGGCAAGGGGCAGTAGCTTTGTACAGTGACCGCAGTGTCCTGCGTGGCATGTTTGAAGCCGTGGTCCGTACTTCTCGTATCCTTGCCGACTGAACGTTCAAAGGGCATTTCCGTCACAACAAGGTAAGAGATGTGTACCCCGCCTTGCCGGCAGATTACCCAGCGAACATGCCGCCTGAGAGCTGCTCCGACCGCATTCGCAGACAGGCAGTATCCGAATTGCAAACCAAGCCAGCAGTTCACTGCACGGATCCTGCTGCACCTAGGGCGCTACCCAGGCACTTGCTAAAGCCCAACCGTTCCTTCCCGGCGGTGTGTTTTAATTCAAACACGCAGCCAACGAAAATAGAGTGTCGGTCTGGTCGAGGTGTTCCGTCTGTTGGAGGGTTGGTCTGCTCCAGGCTTTCCGTCGCGATCGCTTTGCCAGCAAGGGAAAAAGCATGTGTACAGTGAACGCAGCCGCTGTGGAACCGGCCGGGAGGGAAGAAGTGTCCGGAGTAGCTCGTTTGAAGCCTTGGTCAGCTAGAGCGTTGCTCAAGCGAGAGTCAGAGCGTTGCTCAGATCGACCAGAGAAGGCCAACTGTCAACCCGGCTTGTTTGGAAGGGCATGTTTCGAGAAGCAACGTAGGCGATCCGGTGTGGCACGTTTTCACAACGGCATGGCAAGTTTCGAGAACGGCATGTTTAAAGGCAGGGGGCGGTAGCTTTGGTCAGCTAGAGCGTTGCTCAAGCGAGTGTCAGAGCGTTGCTCAGATCGACCACCGCGATGCGTCTGCCACGGCCTGTGTACAGTGAACGCAGTGTCCTGCGTGGCATGTTTGAAGCCGCGGTCCGCCAGAGGGTTGGTTAAGCGAGTGTCAAAGCCTGGGTCGGACCGACGCAAGGAGGTCCGCAGTGAACCCAGCATGTGTCAAGGAGCAGGTCTGTGCAATGAATTATGTAGCTTTGGTCCGCTGCACGAGCCCAGTGTTAGACCAATATTGGTCCCAGCATATTCCCACTAGAAGCTCAAGACTATAAGCTTCGTATAATGTCAATCTGAAGCCCGAGATTTAGAGATTTAGTGCAGTAGAAGCTTCAGCTTTAGTTCCACCTGTACCCCAGGATAATAGTACATGATAGTACCCACCCATATCCCCCCCACCGGCGGGGCGACGTGGGCCGAGCCGGTGGCTAGGTGAGCCGGTGATAGTGAATTATAATCCCTGCACTACTCGACTTTAAGCCCAATATTTGTCCCATAGTCCCATTATAATCCCCGTAACATCTCCATAGTAAGCCCAAGGATCTACCCACCTATAGCAATCCCATCGGCGGGCGACGTGGGTCGAGCCGGTGGCCAGGTTATCGCGTGACAGTGAATTGTAATCCCAGCACGAGCCTACCACGTAATTAAGTTCCATATTTGTCCCAACATAGTCCCATCATAATCCCGCGTGATAGTGAATTATAATCTCAGCACTAGCCGCCTACTTAAGCCCAATATTTGTCCCAGCATAGTCCCATCATAATCCTAGTCGAGTCGCCATAGTCAGCCGAAGATTTGGTCCATGAGAATGCCAAGACGTATGTCTATACGTCGCCCATGTGACGAGCTCATTACGGTACCTCCCAAAGGAAAAAGCATGCGTACAGCGAACGCAGCCTCTGTGGAACCAGCCGGTAGGGAAGAAATGTCCGGAGTGGCACGTGTCAGCTAGAGCGTTGCGTAAGCGAGAGTCAGAGCGTTGCTCAGATCGACCAGAGAAGGCAAGCGGTCAACCCGGCTTGTTTTGAAAGGCAGGTTTGGAAGGGCGCCGCAGGCAACGGCATGTCTACAGGCAGGGTCCAGGAGGTTTGGTCAGCTAGAGCGTTACTCAAGCGCGTGTCAGAGCGGTGCTCAGATCGACCAGAGAAGGCGAGCGGTTAACCCGGCAGGTTTTGAAGCTAGAGCGTTGCTCAAGCGAGAGTTAGCGTGTTGCTCCGATCGACCAGAGAAGGTCAACTGTCAACCCGGCTTGTTTGGAAGGGGCATGTGTCGAGAAGCAACGTAGGCGATCCGGTGTGGCATGGGACAGCATCACCTAATCCAACTATCGACCATGAGTATACTTGTTTATCTATTAAATGTAGCCCATTGATCAAAGTCACCTGTCAGCCCGGCGTGTTTACAACGGCATGTTTCGAGAAGCAACGTAGATGATCCGGTGTGGCATGTTATCACAACGGCCAAGCACGTTCCGAGACCGGCATGTTTCAAGGCAGGGGGCGGGAGCTTTGGTCAGCTAGAGCGTTGCTCAAGCGAGTGTCAGAGCGTTGCTCAGACCGACCATCGCGATGCCTCTGCCAAGAAAGGCAGTGTCCAGCGTGGCATGTTTGAAGCCGCCGTCCGCCAGAGGGTTGGTTAAGCGAGTGTTAGAGCGTGGGTCAGACCGACGCAAGGACGTCAGCGGTGAACCCAGCCTGTTTCACGGAGCAGGTCGGTGCGATGAATCATGTCGCTGTGGTCAACTGCACGAGCCCAGTGTTAGACCAATATTGGGTCTAGCATATTATTCCCACTATAAGGTCAAGACTATAAGCTTCGTATGATGTCAATATGAAACCCAAGATTTAGTGCAGTTGAAAATTTCGCTTTAGTGTAACCTGTACCCTAATCTCAGCACGAGCCGCCTACTGAAGCCCAATAGTTATCTCAGCATAGTTCCAGCATAATCGGAGTCGCGTCTCCGTAGTCAGCCGAAGCTTTGGTCCATTGGATTGCCAAGACCTATGTCTACACGTCGCCTATGCAACGAGATCATTTTGCAAAACCTCCGGTCTCCTAGCCGACGGAACATCCAAAAAACCCCAATCTCAGCACGAGCCGCCTACTGAAGCCTAATATTTATCTCAGCATAGTTCCGGCATAATCGGAGTCGCGTCTCTCTAGTCAGCCGAAGCTTTGGTCCATTGGATTGCCAAGACCTATGTCTACACGTCGCCTATGCGACGAGATCATTGCAAAACCTCCGGTCTCCTTGCCGACGGAACATCCAAAGAGCATGCCGCCTGTAGGCACCAGGTTCGTTTTTGTTTCCGTCACAACAAGGTAAGAGATGTGTACCCCGCCGTGCCGCTAGATTACCCAGCGAACATGTCGCCTGAGAGCTGCCCCGACCGCATTCGCAGACAGACCGTATCCGAATTGCAAACGAAGCCAGCAGCTC